AGATATCTGGACAATGCCAATTCTACCAACCATCTGTGTGAGATTAGAGAGAAGCTATCCCCTGGAGGAGTTCACTGAAAGACTGGAAATGTCAGACATTTGCCCCATTTTCCCTCACCTCTGGGTAGAAGTTGTGATGTCTCTCAGCACTGAGCTGTGATGGCTTAGAGGAGGGTCTGACACAGGTAAAGTAAAATTGCTCGTCCTTCCTGTTTCAGTGTGGCTTATCTTTATCTTGTTTTTGTCTGGAGTACTGCAACGTAACTGGATGCTGGACTTCTCATAAGAGTATTTTGTTACTTATCTTTTTGTTAAATCTGCGTTTCTGTGTGGGAACAAGGGTTTGAGCTTCCTATTCCGCCATCTTGCTGACATCACTCCCCCCATTGTGTATTCTTGGCACCCTTTTCAAACATCAGTTGATTGCTTATGGATGGGTTTGTTTCTGGGCAATCTATTCTGTTTCACTGGTCTACATATTTGTCTTTATTCTAGTACTATACTGTTCTAATTAATAAAGCTTTGTAATATATTTTGAGATCAGGGAGTGTCATGTCTCCAACTTTATTCTTTCTCAAGGGTGCTTTGGCTATTCAGGGTCTTTTATGTTTCCACATGTGTTTTAGGATCATTCTTTCTACTTCTGTAAAAAAGAGCCACTGGGAATTTGATAGGAACAGCATTGAATCTGTAGATTGCTTTGGGTAGTATGGACATTATAGCAATATTAAATCTTCCAATCCATGAACATATGTCTTTCCATTGATTTGTGTCATCTTTAGTTTCTTTCATCATTATTTTGTAGTTTTTAGTGTACAAGTCTTTCACCTCTTTGGTTAAGTTTATTCCTAAGTATTTTATTCGTTTTGATGCTACTGTAAATGAGACTGGTTTTATGTCATCTTGAACAGAAATAATTTCACTTTTTCCTTGCAAACTTGGATTTCTTTTGCTTTTTTCCTTCCTAATTGCTTTCATTAGGTCTTCCAATATTACATGGAATAGAAATGGCACAAGTAGGCATCTTTGACTTCTTCCTAATTGTAAGGGAAAGGCTTTCAGTCTTTGCTACTGAGTACAATGTTAGCTGTGGGTTTTTCATATATGGTCTTTATCATATTGAGAAAGTTTACTTTTATTCCTAGTTTATTGAGCATTTTGTTTTATAATGAAAGGATATTGACTTATGTTAAAAGGTTTTTTGCATCAGCTGAGATGATTATCTGTTTTTCCCCCTTATTTTATTAATGTGATGTATTCCAATGCTGCATGTGCTTATATTTCTTATTGTTATATCCTCTTGATGACTTGACCCCTTTATCATTATATAATGGCCTTCTTTTTCTCTTGTTACTCATTCGGCTTAAAGTCTATTTTCTCTGACATAAATATAGCCACCTCTGCTTTTTCATTTCTACTTGCATGGTATATCTTTCCTCATTCCTTTACTTTAAGCCTATGTGTGTCCTTATTTCTGAATGAGTCTCTTGTAGGCAGCAAATAGTTGGATCTCTTTTTTATCCATCCAGCCACTCTGTGCCTTCTTATTGGTGAGTTCAATCCATTTACATTTAAGGTAATTATTGACATGTAAGAACTTACCAATGCCATCTTAAGAATTGTGTTCTGACTGTTCTGTAGTTCCATTATTTAATTTTCCCTCTGTTTCTGTGTATCTTTGTAAATTGGTGATTTTCCAGGCTGGTATGTTCTGATTCCCCTTTCTTTATCTTTTGTAAATATACTTTAGGTTTTTGCTTTGTGGTTATCATGAGGCTTACATAAAGTATCTTATGGGATAAAAGAGTCCATTATAGCTGATAGGTACTTCACTTCCATGGCACACAAAAGCTCCAATCTTTTACTCCCCGCTTTTATATCTTTGATGTCACATTTACCTCTTTTTCTATTGTGTATTTGTTAACAAACTATAGTATCTATAGTTATTTTTAGTACTTTTGTCCTGAACTTTTATACTATAGTTAACTGGTTAGCACACGTCACAGAATTAGATTTTTTTGTCTGACTGTATATTTACCTTTACCAGTGTGTTTTATATTTTTGTATGTTTTTATGTTCTAATTAGTGTCTTTTCATTTCTGCCTGAACTTCTTTTGGTTTTTCTTGCAAGGAAGGTCTAGTGCTGACGAACTTCCTCAGTTTTTTCGTTTGTTTGCTTGGGAAAGTCTTTATTTCTCTTTCATATCTGAAGAATAATTTTTCCAACTAGAGTATTCTTGGCTGGCAATTTTTGTCTTTCAACACTTTGAGTATGTCATTACACTCTCTCCTGGCCTGTGGAGTTTCTGATGAGAAATCTACTGATAGCCAGTGGGGTTCCTTTGTAGGTCATAGTCTTTTTTTCTCCTGCTGCTTTTAGGATTCTTTCTTTGTCTTTGATTTTCACAGTCTCATTGTAGTGTGTCTTCAAGGTCTTTTGCATTGAGATATATGGTGATCTATTAGGCTTGTGAACTTGGATGTCCAAGTCTTTCCTCAGGTTTGGGAAGTTCTCAACTATTATTTCTTTAAATAAATTCTCTGCCACCTTCGACCTCCCTTCTCCTTCTGGAACTCCAATTATGCTGATATTTGTATGTTTTGTGGAGTCTCATAGATCACATAGACTTTCTTCACTCTTTTTCATTCTTTGTTCTTTGTTCTCCTCTATTTGGGTTATTTACAATGTTCTATTCTCTAGCTCACTGATTCTATCCTCCATTTGGTCTACTGTGCTGTAGATGCTCTCTATTTCATTAATTGAATTATTCAGCTCCAGAATTTCTGTTTGGATCTTTTTTATGACCTATATCTCCTTGTTAAATTTCTCATTTGAACATGTATTGTTTTCCTGATTTTGTTGAATTGCCTCTATGTATTTTCTTATATCCCATTAAGTTTCATTAAAATAGCTATTTTGTAATCTTAATCAGATAGACAGCAAAATTCTGTGCCTTTAGTTCAGTTATTGGAGGATTATTGTTACATTTCAGTGATGACATGTTTTCTTGATTCTTCATGTTCTTAGGAGTTTTGCATTGATGATTTCACATTTAATGTAGCAGATGCCTCCTCAAATCTTTTAGTTGCATTTAGGTGAGATATATTGTTCATTTGTCCCGTTATATCTGGGAATTTCTCTGACCTCATAAGGATACCCCAGCTATGCACTTCTTGCTTCTTCTTGTGGAAAAATTTTAAGCTTTTATGTCTTCTCTGTTCTTCAACTCCTCTGACTGGCTGCTGGAAACTTCTCTTTTTTTTCCAGTAAGTGGTGCTACAACTCAAATTTTACATAAAATGGTTTCTTCCTTGCTCATAGACCCTTGTCTTATTTTTCTGACCACACTCTATTTACTAGATCTTGCTCTTGCAACCACAGTGAGTACTGTGCACACACAACCAGCTGCAGAGTTGGAGGAGGTGAGGGTTTAGCACTCAGGGCATTGGGAGTGCTATGGTCCCAGCGGCGGATCATCAGATGAGGTTCTCCCAGAGGTTCATGGTCAAACTTCCTGCTGATGTACTGAGCCTAGTCAGCAAGGACCATGTCCCTTTAATGCCCTTTTATATTATCTGCCTCTTTCCCAACTTTCTCCCTCCTCCTAGTCATGGATTTCCTGCATCAGTATTCTGGGTGATTCTGGAGAGAAATGTTTCTTTCCAGCAGCATCCTGCACAACTGGGGTAGCTAGGCACTCATTCGTGGCTCTCCTTTTTCCCTGAGGCAGATGTCACAACTTATTTCAGCACAGTGCTGTATCATCTTGGTATATTTTAAACTTTAGCAAAGTTTCTCTTACCCTCTCCAATGCATCCAAATTTGGTTTTATTTTTGCTCCAATGGTGTGCTGGAATGTCCTGTCTGGATTGCTGATCTTCTACAAGTTTCTCTCCTCTGTGGGTGTATGCCCAAGTCAGCACTCTCCAGTTTTTCCCCAAGTGCATGTAAGAGGTGTTGGGGCAGATTTGCTGGCTCCTGCTGGTTCCACAGCCTGTGCAGAGGTTTATCTAACTATTACTAGAGGCACAGTTGGGCAAGACTATTCCTGGTCCCCTGGCATATTGTGCTCAGTTCCACAACTCCCGCAGAGGTACTTTTATTTGGGGGTGGATCTAATTTTTAGTTTTAAAAAGGAAGACAAAGGAGGGACATATTCACTGCCATGATGCTAATATCATTCTTTTTAAATTTTACATACAGTAAGACTCACTTTTTGTGGTGTATATTTCTGTGGGTTTTTTTTTTTTTAAAGATTTTATTTTTTCCTTTTTCTCCCCAAAGCCCCCCAGTACATAGTTGTGTATTCTTCGTTGTGGGTTCTTCTAGTTGTGGCATGTGGGACGCTGCCTCAGCGTGGTCTGATGAGCAGTGCCATGTCCGCGCCCAGGATTCGAACCGACGAAACACTGGGCCGCCTGCAGCGGAGCGCGCGAACTTAACCACTCGGCCACGGGGCCAGCCCCAATTTCTGTGGGTTTTTAAGAATGCATAGAGTTGTACATCCACCGTCTCAGTTGTGGTATAGAACAGTTCTATCAGATCCAAAAATTGTCTTGTGCTTTAGTCTATCTATCCTTGTGCTGATACCACACCCTATTATTTTAGGTTTATAATAGGACCACGAAGAATATATCTCCCTGTTTTTCTTCAGTATGTCTTGAGCATTCTTGGTCCTTTGCACTTCTACATATATACACATAAAAAATTTGGTTTCTGATTGGAATTGCATTGAACTGATAGATCATTTTGCCCTTTCTATAGACAATGTAAAGCATATGCCTTTGTATTGATTTGTAATTGCTATCTTTGTAAGGACAGGTGATATATTTTTAAAATACTTTTGGTAATATATGTACTCACATATTAACTGTTAAGTTATTGATATGTATACTCACATACTAAGTACACATATTAACTATTTATTAAATGATGAAAATGCAGACTTCCAATGTCATTAATCTATTAAGCTAAATGTTTAAATAATGACTTTTTTCAGCTACCAACCAATAGTTGACTACATAGATGCTCAATTTGAGGCCTATCTTCAAGAAGAATTGAAAATTAAACGTTCCTTCATTGACTACCATGATTCTCGTATCCATGTGTGCCTGTACTTCATTTCACCTACAGGACATTCTCTGAAGTCCCTTGATTTATTAACCTTGAAGAATATTGACACTAAGGTATGTTTGGTAAATCCATCAACCTATCAAGATTTTGTATTTATTTTGAGATAATTTATATCTTGAAGGCATTTGTGTACAAGAACATGTTATTTTGTATTACATGTAGATATATATTTTTCTGTTAATACTTAAAGCATTTGTATTAGCTTCCTAGGGATACCATTACAAAATACTACAGACTTAGTGTTTTAAACAACAGAAATTTGTTTCTCACAGCTCTGGGAGCTGGTAGTCCAAGATCAAAGTGTCACCAAGTTTTGTTTTCTCTGAAACCTCTCTTCTTGGGTGGCAGATGGTCACCTTCTCAGTGTGTCCTCACAAGATCTTTCCACTATGCACACATCTGATATTCCTTTGTTTCCAAGCTTCCTCTTCTTATACAGACACCAGTCAGATTGGATTAAGACTCATCCTAATGGTCTTATTGTAACTTAATCACCTCTTTAAAGATTCTAACTCCAAATACAGTCATATTCTGAGATACTAGGTCTTAGAACTTCAACACATGCATGGGGCATGGAGACACATTTAGTCCATAACAGCATTTGATACATTTCAGCTTTAGCTTGCTTTCCAGAGAAACTTAATTAGAAAATGCATCAGTTAGGAAAATGAGATGCAGGTAAAAAAATTAAAATAAAAATTTAGGGGATTTTTGGTGGTTAAATGATACTTTAGATCATGGTCATTTGCTCATATTTTTTTTTTTTAAGATTTTATTTTTTCCTTTTTCTCCCCAAAGCCCCCCCGGTACATAGTTGTATATTCTTCGTTGTGGGTCCTTCTAGTTGTGGTATATGGGATGCCGCCTCAGCATGGTTTGATGAGCAGTGTCATGTCCGCACCCAGGATTCGAACCAACGAAACACTGGGCCACCTGCAGCGGAGTGCGCGAACTTAACCACTTGGCCACGGGGCCAGCCCCCATTTGCTCATATTTTTGAAATTAAATTTACTCTATAGTACTGTAAAATAATCCCATTATGATTTACCTGGTACCACTGATGGTGTGAAACATGAAGCACGATCCTGGCTGCTGGTTCTATTGGAGAAGATTCAGAATGCAATATACATATTTTCAACAGAGGATTAATATACACATGAAAGAAATTATGTCCTGAGATCCTTTCCTGCACTCAGCCCTGATAAAACGTGTTGCCTTTTACTTTATACAGCAGAAGAGAGGAAAATTTCTAAAATTGGATTCTGTATATCAAATAAAGCCTGAATTTGTTATGTATTGTTCAAACTGAAAACAAACTTTGTACTTAATCTCACATTTTACCAAGGAGTTGAAAATAGTTAGATTTCTAGTTAAAATTTAGCTGCCTCAATTTCTTGATTAGTAGTATATTCAATAGTCAGGGACACATAGTTTTGTTTTTAACTTTATGGGCAGCCATAATCATCAAGCCACTTCCAGAAACATAAATTGCTAGTTTTTTCAAGGACCATTACATTCAAGGGGCAAGGGAGTGTCTGTATCTGTTGTCTTCTCTTCCAGTTTGCTCAGCTCTCCCTGCAATAACAGACTTTTGTTCCTCAAGTCTGATCACCTGAGGAATTATTGTCATGGAAAGTTTCCATTTCTTATGTGATAATGATTTACTATCACTGGAGGATATCTTTTCCCAGCTTGCTCATCGATAAAACCCAAGACATTCATGATAGTGTTGAATCTACCTTGGCAGTAGTCTGATTTTTACTGTGGAAGCTATTATTTAATATTTTAAAATTATACAAAATTTTGAACATCTATGTTATAATATGGAAGCCACAGCTTTGCATAAGGATTGTTTTTAAAAAGTTGAATAATCTAGAGCAAAAGCAATATACCTAAAACTGACTTTTATGCATCCCTACTATATAACCGAACTTGATATCATGTAGTTGTGATTTAATAAAATATTATTTTAACAGTAATAAAACATATTTTAGAATTTTTCATATTGTTATTTTATACAAAGTTTAATTATTAATGTGAAAATGCCAGGAGACAGGAAAGATCACATTGTAGAACTAGGAAGAAAAGTTTATGAATAAAATTTCAACCTCAAATATGTAACAGTTCCTTTTTACAAATTACAAATGAACATATTTGTTAGCGAGATGCTATACACACGCATTCAACCTTTAGGGTATGGTAACAAAAAATACATTATTTTAGGTGCTCTTTGGAAAACACAAGCAAATTTATCTGCAAAGACATCTAGATAGAGCAAGTATTTGTGAAAATGGGGCATTGATTAAGACAAATTTATGGAGAAGGTGGTATGAATAAATAATGGTAGAAAGACAAAATTAATCTGGTCTACAATTTTGATGACAGGTCTTTTCTGACTTTTTAGCACACAGTTTAATAAGAAATCAAAATGATAGTGAAGTAAATAGACTACTTCATCCTACTACTTACATTTTACTAACTCCAGATTTGTTGGAAGTATAAGAAAGTTTGCCAAAAGAAAGAAAGTTAAGACTTCAGGACTTAATTCTGATAAAAGATTAATCTTCAAAAGTACTGAGAATTTTGGAAAAAAGTTATAGGGAAGGCAAGATAGCTAGTGATTAGCTACAAAAATTTGTTGCCAGAGATTGTGGTTTTTACTGTAAAAATTCTAGGATTAATAAAAAATATTCACTGATGAGGTTTTGTTTGCTTTCTTCTTAATAGGTGAACATTATACCACTGATTGCCAAAGCAGATACATTGTCAAAAAGTGACTTACAGAAATTTAAGTTTAAGATAATGAATGAATTGGTTAGTCATGGCATACAGATATACCAGTTCCCAACAGATGATCAAAGTACTGCTCAAGTGAACTCCTCAATGAATGTAAGCTTTGAACTATTGAATATCAATTCTACTTTACAGGTGTGAATGAAAATATAATTTATAAGTAACAATATTAGTAATACATTGTCGCTTGTATCTGATGAAAAGAGTATAATAAGGTATTTTTTCCAAAACCCAGTGTGGAAAAATGTTTTATTTTCTTGATTTTGAAAAATGTTTCTGAGAATCAATTCTCTTTTTAAACAGCTATATTAAGATATAGTTCACATACCATATGAGTCACTCATTAAAGTATACAATTCAACAATTTTTCATCTATTTACAGATGTGTTCACCCATCACCACAATCAATTTTAGGACATTTTTATCAGCTCAAAAAGAAAACCCAGACCCTTTAGCTCTTCTCCCACACTACCTGTCAGCCCTCCTCCCCACCAATCCTAGACAAACACTAATTGAATTTCTCTGTATATTTCTCTGTTCTGGACATATCGTATGAATGGAATTATATAATACTTAGCTTTTTCATATGCTTACAGATATTAGTATATATTTCCAGAAGAGACATTTACTCAGATATTTTGCCCATTTTTAAATTATGCTTTGTCTTTTTATTATTGAATTATGTGTTCTTTCTATATTTTGGATACAAATTACTTTGAGATATATGATTTGCAAATATTTTCTCCCAATCTGCTTGTCATTCTTTTACTTGCTTTTTGGTGTCCTTTGAAACACAAATTTTTAAATTTTGATGAGGTCCAATTTATCTATTTTTGTTGTTGCTTGTACTTTTGGTGTCATATCTAGGAACATTTTGCCAAATCCAAGGTAATAAAGATTTACTTATATGTTTTCTTCAATGGTGATAAAATACACATAACATGAAACTTACCATCTTAAATATTTTAAAGTGCACAGTTGAGTGGCATTATAGATTCACATTCTTGTGCTACCATCACCACCATCCATCCACAGAACTCTTTCCATCTCGCAAAACTGAAACTCTGCATCCAATAAATAATAACTCCTCATTACTCCTCCCCCCAGCCTTTGGCAACCACCATTGTATTTTCTGTCTATAAGACAGACCTTGACTACTCAAGGTACTTCCTGTAAATGGAATCATTCAATATTTATTTCATGTCTGTACAAATATTTCTTTGAGTTTCTTTCTTCAGTTCCTTTGAGTATATGCCAAGAAGTGGAACTGCTGGATTGTACAGTAATTCTATGTTTAATTTTTGGAGGAATTGCCATAACTGTTTTCCATAGTGGCTGCACTATTTTACATTCGCACTAACAGTGTGCAAAGATTATGTTTTCTCCACATCCTCATCAACATTTGTCATGTTCTGGGTTTTTTTAAAATATTAGCTTCTCTTACTGGATGTGAGGTGATATCCTATTGTGGGGGATTTTTTTGTGAGGAAGATTGGCCCTGAGCTAACACCTGTGCCAATCTTCCTCTACTTTGTATATGGGATGCTGCCACAGCATGGCTTGATGAGCAGTGTGTAGGTCCACGCCTGGGATCTGAACCTGTGAACCCTGGGCTGCCAAAGTGGAGCGTTCAAACTTAACCACTATGCCACTGAGCTGGCCCCCTATTGTGGTTTTCATTTGCATTTCTCCAATGATTAGTGATGTTGAGCATCTTTTCATATACATATTGACCATTTGTATATCTTCTTTGGAAAAACGTCTATATATCCATTTCATCTAAGTGTTGTCAAATTTGTTGGTGTGCAGTGATTTATAGTATTCCTTTATAATAATTTTTATTTTTGTAAGATTGGTAGTAATGTTCCTTTCATTTCTGACTATAATAATTTGAATCTCCTCTCTTTTTACCTTGATCTAGCTAAAGATTTGCCAATTTTGTTTGTCTTTTAGACAACCATCTTTTGGTTTCTTTGATTTTTTTTGTTCTCTATTTCATTAATATTCTCTTTAATCTTTGTCATTTCCTTCCTCTACTTGCTTTAGGTTTAGTTTGCTCTTCTTTTTTCAGTGTCTTAAGATAGATGGTTAAGTTATTGAGTTAATAACCTTCTTTTTTTATAGGCATTTATTTCTATACATTTCATTCTAAACATTGTTTTGACTGCATCACAAATTTTGATATGTTGTGTCTCCATTTTAATTTATCTCAGAATATCTTCTGTTTTTCTTTTTACTTCAACTTTGACTCTGGTTATTTAAGACTGTGGTGGTTTAATTTCCACATATTTGTGAGTTTCCAAAATTTTCCACTGCTATTGATTTATATTTTCATTACACTATGGTTGAAGGCCATACTTTGTATATTTTTTATTCTTTTATATTTATTGAATTTAGTTTTATGGCTTACCCAATGGCCCACCCTAGAGGATGTTTCATGTGCACTTGGAAATAATGTATATTCTCTTTGAAGGTGAAAATGATCTTTCAGTTTATTTATGTTTGCACAGGCTACGTTCTTATCCACATGAAACCATTAGGATTTATAGAATTTCTGGCATGTCTTGCCCTGCAATTGAATATTTAGGACAATATCCTGTGTATGGCGATGTTCTTTCACCTCAGAGTCTTAAACCCAAGCAAGAATAAGAATGTACATTCTATTTTTGGGTGGAGTGTTATAAATGCTTGTTGTCTGGTTAGTTTATAGTGTTGTCCAAGTCTCTTTTCTTGTTGATCTTATCTTTGTTCTATCAATTGTTTTATATTGGGATATTGAAGTCTGCAAATATTATTGTAGAATTGTCTATTTCTCCCTTCATTTCTTTCTTCCAGTTTTATTGAGAAATAATTGACATTCATCACTCTTTAAGTTTAAGGTGGGCAGAATGATGGTTTGATTTAAATATATACTGAAATGATTACAATAGATTTAGTTAACATCCATCATCTCATATAAATACAATAAAAAGAAAAGAAAAAATTCTCCTTGTGATGAGAACTCTTAGGATCTACTCTCTTAACAACTTTCCTACGTATTATACAGCAGTGTTAGCTATAGTCATCATGTTGTATGTTATATTCCTTGTACTTACTTATCTTATAGCTGGAAGTTTGAATCTTTGATCATTTTCCTCCAATTCCATTTACCCTACCCCACCACCTCTGATAACCACAAATCTGATCTCTTTTTCTATGAGTTTGGTGATTTTTTTTTAAATTAGATTTCACATATAAGTGAGATCATATAGTATTTGTCTTTCTCTGTCTGATTTATTTCACTTAGCATAATGCCCTCAAACTCTATCCATCTTGTGGTAAATGCAGGATTTCCTAGTTTTATTTTTTGGGTGAGTAATATTCTGTGGAATCTTTAGGGTTTTCTACAGATAATACCGTGTCATCTGTAAACAGAGATAGTTTTGTTTCTTCCTTTCTTATTTGGATGACTTTCTTCTCTTTCTCTTTCCTAATTCTGAAGAGGAGAGATGAAAGTGGACATCTTTGCCTGGTTCTGGATCTTAGAGGGAAATCTTTTAGCTTTTAACCATTGAGTATGATGTCAGTCGTAGGCTTTTCATAAATGACTATTATTACTTTTAGGTAATTTTCTTCTATATCTAATTTTTTGAGAGTTTTATATGGAAGGACATTGAATTTTGTCAAATGCTATTTCTGCATTTATTAAGATGATCATGTAGTTTTTATCTTTTATTCTGTTAATGTGGTGTATCACGTTGATTGATTTCTGTACATTGAAATATCCTTGCATCCCAGGGATAAATGCTAACTCGTCATGGCATATGATTCTTTAAATGTGCTGTTGTATTTGGTTTGCTGCTATTTTCTTGAAGATTTTTGCGTCTATGTTCATCAGGGTTATTGGCTTGTAATTTCATTTTCTTGTATGTTCTTATCTGGCTTTGGTATCAGGGTGATGCTGGCCTCATAGACTGAGTTTGGAATGTTTCCTTCTACTTTTTTTTGGAAAAGTTTAGGAAGGATGGGTATTCGTTCTCCTTTAAACATTTGGTAGAATTTAGCTGTGAAGCCATCTGGTCCTGGGCTATTTTGTGTTGGAAATTTTAAAAAATTTATTCTTCAATCTCCTTTTTAATTATTAGTCTGCTCAGGCTTTCTATTTATTCTTGATTCAATCTTGATAGGTTGTATGTTTTTCGGAATTTCTCCTTATATTCTAGGTTATCCAATTTGTTGGAGTATAACTGTTCATAACTATCCCTTATGATGCTTTTAGTCGTGTGATCTGTTGTAATGTATTCTCCTACATTTCTGATTTTATTTACTTGAGTCTTCTATTTTTCCTTTATAACTTTAGCTAAGGCTTTATTGATTTTGATTATCATTTCCAAAAAGCAACTCTAAGCTTATAAAATTGTTTTTTAGTCTTTATAATTTATTTCTCCTATAATCATTTTTATTCCTTTCTTCTGCTAATTTTAGTTTGGAATTTTTCCACCTATTTCCTTGAATTGTAAAGTTAGCTTGTTTATTAAGGATGTTTCTTCTTTTTTAATGTAGGAATTTATTGCTATAAACTTCTCTAATAGTACATTTTTGTTGCATGCATAAGTTTTGATATATTATGTTTTTGTGTTTCTTGTCTCAAGATATATTTTAATTTTCTCTTTGATTTCTTTTTTGACCAACTAGTTTTTTATGAGTGTGTTAATTTCCCCGTATTTGTATATTTTCCTATTTCTATTATTGATTTCTAGTTTCATTCCATTTAGTTCAGAAGAGATACTTGTAATAATTTCAGTCTTCTTAATTTTGTTGAGGTCTATTTTGTGACAATATATGATTTATACCGGAGAATATTCCATGTACATTTGAGAAGAATGGGTAATTTGGTGCTGTTGGGTGGAATGTACTGTATATATCTTTTAAGTCTATTTGGTCTATAGCATTATCTCTTCAGTTCTGCCATTTTCTTATTGATTTTATGTCTGACTGTTCTAGCCATTTTTGAAAGTGAAATGTTGATGATTCCTACTATTATTACATTTTTGTCTGTTTCTCCCTTCAGGCCTGTCAGTGACTGCTTTTTATATTTGGGTGCTTTGATGTTAGTG